AATATGTATATATAAATTAAGTTAGACAATGTTATACTCCAAATAAACACAACTGAACCTCAATCCAAACGGTTGGCATCCGCTCTATGAATTGTTTCACTACATTCCCACCTATCCAGGTCACAATAGAATGACCCAATCCCGATTAACAGACTTAAGGTTCGCACCAAATGAGTCTAAGTAACAAAATGAAAATCAAATGGGACAGGTATGAAGGCCAGAAAAGGACAATGGAATAGGCATAAGCATAGATATATGTATTTCTTAATGGCTATTGTAGGAAAGTTGTTCAACTCTAAAACATCCTCTGGATCTGAGAAGCCCTAACAAGTTGTGTGTTCATCATAAAGAGATCTACTATGGTTTTACCTGGATCATTCCTGGATGGTCTCTGGTGTTATTTCCGGCCATGGGGTGCCATCTTGCATAACCCATCCTTCTTCAGGGACTTTCTGTGCCTTTGCAACAAGCCCATTAACACGAATCTTAAACTCTTCATACTCTCTCTGCAACGTAAGGAAAGATGAAGTGATCTTAAATTAGAGGAAGATCAAGTGATGAAGTATACTCATAAATAGAAAACTCACCTTCATAGCTCTACGATCTTTGACAAATGAAGGTTGAACTTTATCCTTCAGGTAGTCGATTTTTTGGCAAAGTACCATTCTGGAGCTCGGGGCTCAATGCTATACTCTTGCAGAAAGGACCCATTTCTTGCAAATTCTGATGTTTCAGATAGAGCTTCAAATGACAACCTAGCAGCACCATCACAGACAGTAGCAAGAGACCTGTCGACGGATAGTCAACCGCAAGAATGGATAGCACGGTATTGGCTGTCACAAAGGGTGGCTCCTTCAATGGGTCGACAGTACTGACAAATATGTCAATGGCAGCTAACTGTGAAGGCTCCCCTTCACGATCGTACCTGTTACTCAGGAAAAAAATAACATTAAGACTCTAAACAGAAACAAAATACCAAATATTAAGGAGAATCCTTGAAAAAAGTGAATAGGATTAACACTCATGAAGCTATATATGAAGATGGAGGGGAGAATTAGTCCACCTTAGAGAGCCTTCAAGATATGTCTCCGATTTACTGGAAGCCACGGGAAACTGATCGAGAATCCAGATATTGCAAAACAAAATTCACATATCACAGATATCAACCACAGAGCATAGGCATTTGGCACAGGATTTGTTATCCGGTAATGCAAGAAAATGCTGAGAATAATACAGCAGAACAATGAACATTCTGTAAGGGTTTATCCTAGATGAGAATGGAACCTTCCTTGAAAGAGGTTGCCGAGCTTCATCATTCCTGCAAGACAACAATCAGACAGAAGAAGGAATTTAGAATGAATAACAAGAGAGTTATAAAATTGAAAAGTACTATTCAGTAGTCATGCTATATTTCACTCATCATAATACTAATGCCAAGTTCTAAGCATGATAAGATATGAAATTGCCTTATGGCCATTAAAAAGTTTAGACTTGCCAAGGATTAACAACAAGAACAGAAGGAAATATAATCTCAAAGTAACAATAAAAATTCACAAATTTCATCAAGTAAGAACCCACAGTAATGAGTCATCTACGAGAACATCTGTGCTAGCATCAAATACTCCACCACCCCTTCAGATGTAGCCTGACCAGTGCTCATAGGAACAACATTCTTTTCCTGCTTCATCTTCCAGCCATCAACTCTCTCTTTCCAAGCAAACTGCCCAATCCAGGCGACCCAAACTCCTCACTGGATCCACAACCCTAATATTAGCTGCAAAAAGTCAGTTGCAGGAACCAAGAATTAAAATCAGATATTCAAATGGTGCAAGCAGAAAAAGATTCATGAGAAGGGAGGCATACGTGATGATTGATATGCCAGAATAGGAGAGAGGGGGCATAAGCTTGCACCCAGGAACACCAGGAGATGCCATAGAAATATGTTCAGGTGATGAGCAGATAATTCTCCAGAAACCTAAAGTTAAGGAGGGGTTAAAAGAGATAAATATGACTTCATTTATTAGCAAAAACGAACCACAACATACCAAAACTTATTGATGTACCTCCGTTCCACTAGTAAGACGAGGAATATGATTGTGAGAAACTCTTTCATTTTTGGAGCTCCAACATCCTCCCCTTGTCCATATCTCATACGCCAGCTCAGCATACGCTCGGCAATTTTCTGCTTCTGATTTTGATTTTCTGAAGAGTAATTGAAATCACTGACACCATCACCAGCATCAGCGTCCTTCTGGTCACCAGAATAGCGGACTCCTACACAAGAAAATAAGTAACAAAAATGTCCAGAATCATCCGCTTCAGGATTTTGAAAACAATTTATCAAGTATGAAAAGAAAGTAGTCACCATGTGATCACAAACAACCGTAATAATCCATGTTTCTCTCAAGAAAAGATAACAAATGAACCATAAGAAAAATCCTAGGTGTTTTACATTTGTGATATTAAGAAAATTCTGTCGACTTGCAATGCTGTGTCTAGCAGAACAGTTTCAGGATTCATATCAGTAATTTTGAAACACTCATAACAATTGTCAAACTGATAGATAACTGAGTAAACAATAAAAACCTTTGTGCCTCTGTATCTGTTTTGCATTGAGGGCAAGACTGATTCCCATCCTTCCTATACTCATAGCAGGGCTGCAGACAGGAAACGCACAAACATCGCAAGCAACAAATGGTTCCCCATCCACAGTTTTGCCAACTTATCACCGCAGATCTGGCACACCTGCCCGCCAAGTTCTTCATGGACTTCCCCTGAGCAATCAAATATTAGAAATCTCTCAATTCCAACAACCCAATAGAGCGACATATATTAATTAACACCAACCACTGAAAATCTGGCCAAACCAGCAAACAAAATTACATACGATATGTATAATGTACCACTTGGTTGCTAAACAATAGGGAAATCCATAAAAACAAAAGCAGAATCTAATGTACTTGTTGATTTGGGACCTAAGATGATATTAGTGAAACTCAACCTACTGCAAATAAAATTTATTCAACACCTTATTTCCTTCCTTATTTTCTCAATTTTCCAATCAACTAAACACAAAGAATAAAATCATAAACTTCAAAAAAGAAAAAATTGTATAAACGAATAAATAAGTATATATGCGATAGTTACCGCAGTTTCCCCTTCAGATTCCATCTTGCTTTTTTATTGTTCAGATTTGAGCAATAAATTGAAGCTTCTGGTTCAGTCTCAGCAAGATCTCTGCATCTACAGTAGTTAAGTGTCGAACAGGATTAAAAGAATCTCTATATTCTTATAAACAGTTCAAGTGAAAGCTCAGATCTGCATGAGGATGCGAATCAGATTGTCTCCTTAAACAAAAAAAATTCACATAATTCAGCTAAAAATCCACTTTCTTCACTTTTCTCAGCAAACAAACAGAAACAATAGTGAAACCACTTAAATCAACACAAAGTCAGACACAAATTAAAAAATTAAGCTAAAATAAACAAAATCAAAACTACATTCTCTGTCGCTTCCCTCGATTTCCTCGACTTTAAAAAAGAAAAACAGATCCACAAAAAATATCATAAATAAAAAAAAAAAGAATTCGAGATCAAACCTAAAATCGGAGATCGATGAGCCAGAGTGAGAGTGAGAGAACTAGACGAACAATGCAAAGCAACAGCTAGTCGCTCTCTATAAATAAAAATAGGAAATAAATATAAAAAAATAATAAAAAGATATTCACTTTAATTAGCTGGATGTAGAAGAGATGACTTGAAATGAACGAAAGCGACAGAGAGCTATTTAAGCGTCTCCTCTTCTCTTCTCTCTCTTGAAGGCTCAAAACTCCACCACCGACAGTGAGAGTGTGAGAGACGAAGATAATCATTTCTTTGAGTTTCCTATTTTATTTTATTTTTATTTTCTATATATATCGACTGTTACAATTTGTTAAGAGGTCTCTTTCTTCTTTATTTTATTTATTTTTGATAATGGAGGTTTGGTTTGGCTTTGCTCAGATGGAACAGCTGGATGGAGTGCGTTGAATTTAAGTCTTAGCACTTACTGATTCTGTACCGTTACTGGACTAGTAGATACCTTTGGATTAAGTTATGGATAGTATCGGACGGGTGGTACTAGTTTACCACTCACCGGACAGTAACGAACAGATCCTGGAGTTGCTTTTGTGACAGTGTTTTCAGATTCGTTGTACTACTCTCGCGCTGAAAGGCTTTGACTGTGGTTCATTTCGCCAATCAAGATGTGCCACGTCTTTTTTAAAACTGTTAAAGCTGTATAAGGGATATTTTCTTTTATCTCTGTCGGAAAATTTTATGTGAACGTTATTCTGTATTTATTTTTGAATTTAAAATAAAAATAAATAGCACTCATCTTCTTCAATTAAAGGGATAAATAAATATTAGGATCCACTCAGTATAATTATTTAAATCTGAACAGGTAAGTGATAAGAAAATATCAAATTAAATCAAATATTACATTAATTAACAACCTTAAATTTACATCTTCAAAAAAACGAAAAAAAATCCCAAAAGAGCAACAGAATCGAACAGCCACCTACCAAATTCTAATTTCGTTATTATGAAAAACATGATTGATTTTAAAGGCCCACCAACTGCTAATAATTAAGAGCTAAATTAAAAATAAATAAATGTTGTGGGCCGCGTTAACTTATTGTCGGTGTCCATATTATAAAAAAAAAAAAAGAATTATATCATAATTAATTTAATTAGTTGTTGAGAGAGATATGTCCATTTTTAACTAAAGTGGGGTCCTATTACATGTCCTTTTTTTACTCGATCAAGCAGTTAAAAAATAGAAAGTCTATTTTACCTTTCATATGGGGGACGGATGATAATTTTCAAACTAATGGGGGGCATTAAGAGAATGTAAATCTCAAGGGAGGTCAGTTTTTCTCTTTGTGAAACTCTGAAGAAGAGCGCAGCAGAGCGGCGTCTGAGCTTTTCCTGTTTTTTTTTTTTTCAATCCCTGTTTTTTTTTTTTTTTCAATCCATCTATCGATCGATCACTGAGAAAAATGGCGTCTTTCAGTTCCATCAAGTCCAAAATCTTCGATAGAGAAGAGAGAAAACAGTATGCTTAAATTATAGTTATATTTAAAAACAAAAATACTTTCCTGAATTGTATATATATATTTTTGTATGTTTATTTGGTTTCATTGCGATTGTACAGGCAATACCAAGCTCATATTCGAGGACTCAACGCATACGATCGCNAAGAATGGCGTCTTTCAGTTCCATCAAGTCTAAAATCTTCGATAGAGAAGAGAGAAAACAGTATGCTTAAATTATAGTTATATTTAAAAACAAAAATACTTTCCTGAATTGTATATATATATTTTTGTATGTTTATTTGGTTTCATTGCGATTGTACAGGCAATACCAAGCTCATATTCGAGGACTCAACGCATACGATCGCCACAAAAAGTTTTTGAATGATTATGGTACGGTTTGATCCTTACACATTCATGCTTTGCGTATCTGTCTTAAACTTTTATTTTTTGTTAAAGATGTGGTATAAGAGATTTTGAAGCATTTGCTTGGGATTTATGAGCTGAAAAATTGGGACATAAAGAATCGAGGAGCAAATAGTGAGTGTTTTATTTGCTGAATCTTGGTGTCCAAAATTAAATGGTAGACGAACAATCTTCTCTGTCAAGTGAGGAAGGAGGCTACAGTCAACCACACATTTTATTAATTTCAAAATTAATGGAACTTTCTTGCTGAATTTTTCTAATTTTATCATGAAATATGGATTTGTATGCTTTCATTTTATTGCTTATAATGATGACATGAAGAATGTTGGGTCCCTAGGAGGTTATGGTTTTGGTGATATGTTCTTCTGATGGTGAGAAGAATTTAGCTCAGTCTTTTGTTTTTTTCTTGTGTTACAAGGATTAATGACTCTGAACTTGCTGTTTAGTACAGATGTACGAATACTTGTTTTGGAACTTTGTAGATGTCATGTACAAAAATCCGGGTTTCTTTAATGAGAAATTTTGGTTGTGTTTCAATCATTCTGACTGATTATCACAAGTGGAATATTTTCAGTGATGATAATCCTGCTTTTTAGTTAAGTGAAAATGAGAAAGATGCAGGAAGACACTTCTTTTCATGGTCTGTGTTTGTTTTGCAGTTGCCTTCTATGGGAAAGAAAAGTCTTCACATCTCAAGCTGCCTGTTAAAACTGATCAAGACACTCTAAGAGAAGGATATCGGTATGTTAATCTAATTACATTTATGCATTGCTGCACTATCCCATTTATCATTTGTTTGGTACATTTCTTTAGATGTACAGATCTTCTCCAGGTCGTCTTAATATTTTTCCATTCAATTCGTAATCATGGAAAACTTCTTAATGTCTTTTATGGCTTCAAACTTTCTTTCTTGCAAATAGCGGTTTTTATACAATCTCTTTCTTAATTTGGGACTTATTTTTTAAATTATATTAATGAAGGTTCATACGTTCTGAAGAAGACGATAAGGACTCATCCTGGGAGCAGAGGCTCGTGAAGCGTTACTATGATAAGCTTTTTAAAGAGTATCCTTTTCAAATAGGTGCTGTTTGCATATCTCAGTCATTAAAACTTTGAAATATATGATTGTTGCTAATTAGTGCTTGATATGATTTATATGCTAGTGATATTAGTTTTCTTGTAAACTTAGCTCCATGAAGAGATGTGCATTATAATAATTGTATGTAATTTAAACAATCTTTCCATGAATTGTGAACACTTTTTCATTGCCGTTTGATTTTTTCCCCCTAAATTTTGAACCACAACTCATTATTTTTGTAATAGCTTACTTAACACATAGACTGCCCTTCATTAAGGAAAAACAACTAGCCTGGAAATTTCTTCATTTATGGAGCCTGGAATAAGCATTACTATAGGTCATTAGTTCTCTAATAGCTTGCTTAACTCATGGACCACCCTTCAAACCCACTATAACAAAGAACCCTTTCTCCTGAAAGAAAAGAAGTAGGAACCCTGTCAATGGAGAAGTCATCGCAATAGCTTTTGAGTCCAGAAATTGTAATATCTGCTCAACCGTTGGTATAAAATAGATTCCATATCCCTCTTCTCCAGGTGGTTATTGGTTGTGATTCAGTTTTATATTTATTTATTTTTGGACAATTCTTGTCCACATGGGTATAAAATAGTTGGATGGTTTCTTTATTACTGATTGTTCTTTTGTTATATTGATTTGGTTGAATGGGATTTACAGTCAACTTTTGTAATGTGTTTACATATTCAGTATGTGATTATTTTCTTTGCTGTTGATTGCCTTTAACTTTACCAAGATACTGCATAGCTGACATGACACATTACAAAAGTGGCAAGGTATGTAGGATTAATGCTTTTTTCAGTTTTTGTTTCTTGAATCTGTCACTCTGATGGTCATAGTAATCTGTCACTGAAGTTGGTTTATATATGATTAAGTAGTCTAGTCTTCACTTTCATCCTTTACTATTTGCCTAGTGTAATTAGTTTCGTAAATCTCTTTAATATTCCATGATAACATTCTTCTTCTCAGACTAAAGTTTGTTAATCCCGAGTTCAGTGTATGTCCCTTAAAATATATTTCCAACTTGGAAGATCTATGCTATCTACTTTACTATGCTATCTACTTTACTTATGGATTAGATACAAAGTAACTGCAAGAATGTAAAAAGCATATCATGTTTTCCTCACATCTCCCATATTCTCCTCTTGTCTTTCTCATTCCTTGATACCGACCTTTCTTTGTGTCTTTTCATAAATAACTTTTGTGGTCCCTTAGCTGCTGTGAACATGTGGGAAATCTGGTTCTAGTTTCTAATTCATGAAACCATCTTGCTCGGGATAGCATGTTATCTCTTGTCTGGCTTGCTTCTGGTTCTCCTCTTTGGTTTCTATCAGAACTAAGCTTTTCTTAGAAGACTGTGCATATCCTTAATGGTAGATGCAGGACGAATGTTTGTTTATTCTATCTGTAATATGAACTATATGTTTGCACTTCTTATGGAAACCAATTACAAAATTGTAATTTTCCAGTTTGCCTTGCATAGGACATTACAACTTATAATTGTGTTGTGAAAACATATTATATTTATGAAGGCGTATGGATGATACAAGATAGTATAATAGGAAGAATAAAAATCAAGTTTGCTAAACTTCAAAAAGGGTTGAGGGTTTTCTGCATTAATATAAAGGAGTAACATGCTATTTATACTTGTGGGATTTTCATTTCCTTTTTAACTCATAGGGGACTAAATCAGATTTCAAGGGATGTTTAGAGTGAATGCTCCATGAATGTTTTCTGTATTCTTTATAGATGCCTATTGTTACAGTAATATATCACATTTAAAATGTTTTTCTTGATTTTGAAAATTCTTTCATCTAGATTGGTTTGAGGTGGAGGACTGAGAAGGAAGTCATGTCTGGAAAAGGTAATATTATTCTGTTCCTGCACTGTTTTGGTTAAGATTTTTTTAGTTGCATTGTGATTTTTTTTTTTGGGATTGTGTCATTTTTGGCAAATAATGAGTAAATGTTGGGTCTGTGTTATTTTGTTGATTACTTATTTGTGTAGAATAGAAACCCGTTCTATCTAGTCTTGCAGTCTCTGTCTAAGTCACTTAGTTTGGCAAATAAATTATTGATCGCTTCAATCGCTGTAATATCCTGTTGTACCTTTGTTTTCCTTAAAAAATCTCTCATCATTTTGAATGTCACTGAAAGCTTTACATATTGTTCCTTTCTGTCAGGGCAGTTTGTATGTGGTAACAAACATTGCGATGAGAAAGATGGTCTGGCAAGCTATGAGGTTGGAATCCTGGCTTCATCTGAATATTGAATCTCTTTGGCATTAGACCTTCATTCTCTCCAGACTATAGTGGATGATATAACCTCGTTTGTTCCTTGTAAGAGCTTCATGTAGAAGTTCTTATTTTCTAATCTTTCTCATTCAATAATTTCTGTGGCCAATGTATTTCTAGGTAAACTTTTCTTATGTTGAAGCTGGAGAAAGCAAACAAGCACTGGTGAAATTGGTAATTTGTGAGAGGTGGGTGGTATTTACTAAGGCTATCATTGTTTAATATTGTAGAGGGACCTTGATCTTTATTTTTTTGGTTGACTGTTTTCAAACAGATGTGCAGAGAAGCTTCATTACAAAAGAAGGAAAGAGAAGGAGCTATTAGAAAGAAGAGAGAAAGAAGACTATAGAAGGAAGAGGTGCTAATTTCTGTTCAGAATCTTTTCTACTTTGGAATTCATCATATCCTAATTAAATTACAGGAGGCCAGTACTTCTTTTGTTGCTTAGGAGCTGACTGACTGTCTATTTCAGGGATCTTTCAAGAAGTGACCATGACACAGATGAGGAGTCTGAGTGCAAAGAGAGGAGAATAATTTCTGAAATGAGGGAGAAAGAAGAGCACAAAAGGAAGAGGTGCTAACTTGACTACATGGGCTTTTCTTTTGGAAACCTATCACCTATTTATTGAAGTATGGATAGCTAGCGTATTTGCTGTTTAGAAGCTGACTTTTGATCTTTTCTCAGGGAACAATCTAGGAGTGATGATTCAGATGAAGAGTCTAAGAGGGGAAAAGGTTTGGGGAGAAGAGAAAAAGAAGATTACAAAAGGAACAGGTGCTAACCATGTTTAAAACTTTTTTCTCAGAACCTATTATTAATTAGTTGAATTGTGGGTGCCTTGCCTTTCAGCTGTTTAGAAGCTGACTCCCAATGTACTTTCAGGGATTCATCAAGTCGTGACAGAGATTCAAATGAAGTGCATGAGGGGAGCAAAAAGAAAGGAAAAGGTTTGGTGTTGCTGCTGTTAATATTTTTATATCGTCTATTAAATTGTAAGGTCTTGTTTATTTTTGCAATAATAACCTGCATATTTGGTTTTCTGAAAAAGTTATATTTTGTATATCGGTCAAACATGTGTTCAGAACTCATTTATCTTTTGATAAATTACTTTGGAGCACTTTTGCCCTTGGTCCATATCTGGTATCGGGAAGAGGGTTGTATTAGCCAAGCTGTTAATATGTGAGCATTTAGTCAGGGCCCTATTGGTTTGATTTTGATATAATTTCTGTTAAAGGGGAAATAATCATGGCTATAAGGTCAGCCATATTTATCACCTAAGTTTTTTGGTGTTAGGAAACTGCACCCTATTACAAGTGCATCATTAATGATAATGCTGGACAACATTTCTAGAAAAAAGAGGTAGGTGAAGGACATTCTAGTTAATGAATTTTGGGAAGTTTCAGATGTGACTACTGTGAAATTACGGGAGTTGTTTTAGACAGTTTTATCGTTGGCTGTTTGATAACTGGTCTGCACTCGTGAGTTTGACCCAGATGACTACAAGTAGGTTAATGGGTCGACTGAGCTGAATAGACTCCTGTTCGTGTATGGATTTTGCTTGTTAGGTAGAGGCCAAACTTGGCTATTGTCAATCTGGTCTAGCTCAAATGGCTGGCTCTCTTAGAGGAGATATAAATATTAGTTTTTGCTCTTCTTGTGGTTGTTTAATGTTTCCATGTCCCCTCATGCTCGATCATCTGTAGTGACCTTACATCTTTGAACATGTTTTTTGCAGGAAAAAAGGCTTCAAGCAATCATAATGTTGATGATGACGACAACTTTGATGAATTTCTTGAGGGAATGTTTCCATGATAGTGGCACAGTGACGGCTGCCTTCACCAAAGGTATTCTTACTCATTTGACAAAACCCTGTTGAAGGAAGTTCGACAGCATGAAAATCAAAATCCGAAATCCAATTTGAGCATACATTGAGTGGTTTCCTCCTACCACACAAATAAAGTGGTTTCCTCCTACCACACAAATAAATACCCTGATCAAAGTTGTACATATAAATTAGAATGTCGAATATCCTCAACGCACTTATACATCAGACTTGAAGAGCAGATGAGGGGCCATAAATTGGTTCACATTTCTAGTAGAGCTTTGCTGTTATGTGTTATCCAAGGAAGAGAGATGTATAAAGAAAAGGTCAATTTAGATGAAACGACTTGAAAGACAACAGTTTCAGGAAGTTGGTGTAACCTTAGACAATCTGGCTAGTAAATTTCTTTCCTTATCTTTTCTATTCATTTTATTGGAGCTTTATGGTGTCTGTTATTGTTATTGCAATTTTCCTACTCAAATTGTATCTTCCCTCTACTGATCTAATCTGAATCTGTGATTGGCTAAAGAAATTTGTGAATCCCCTCAAACTCTACAACTTTTTTCACCAATTTCAATAGCAAAATGTTGTGCAAAATTTAACAATTTTACAGGTTTCAGTGCATTTTAAAGTACAAATTTATATTTAGGTTGTGCATACAAAATATCAAAATTTCTCCTATTTCATGACAAGATATGAGAGGCATCCCTGCTCTTGATGGAAAGGGTAAACATAACCACTCATTCCATGAACCCACCAAGGTTGGCGAGATAAGGTCATAAGAACTTTTTCCTGTATTACTCAACAAGTACTCAATTCATTGGTAATAGGTAATCGTTGGAGAGTTTTTTCGTTGATTTTAGGATTTCAAGGTAGTGCAGAAACTGGTTCGAACAGTCTGTCACCGAATAAAAACAAAATCAGTCATTCCATGGCTGCTTTTGATTATGTTTGTGGCTCACTTTCCACTGTATTACCATGCGAGGAATCTAATCCAATCTAAAGTACAAATATATCTATCCTTTCTGTAGCTTTTTCTCATTCTGGGTTCCTCACCTTTTGTATTATTTACATTCACACCCCTGTTACTTTAACCATTTTTTTGCCTTTTTGTTTTATCTGAGTTTTTGCCAGCTCTGACTCTCACGCAACAACATTTTTAACTTCACTGCCACAGCAGCCGCCTTGCCGGTCTCAGCTGTGCGCCACGCATCCGGCTTTCCTTCTCTTCCACGTGTCTCGTTTCTGTGCCTCTCAAGCCAGCCTGTCTTTCATTGTCTGTCTGTCTCCTTCCATCACCTCGATTTTCGTATTTCACATTTTTATTTTTTATTTTTTAAATTAATAATAATTTATATAAATTTGAATTTTTAAAGTTTTGTTGTTTTTTGAATTTAATTTACTTTTTTCGGAATTTTTGGCTGTAACCCAAGACGGAGACAGACAGTGATGACGTCAGGAAAACTAAGGTAACGGTAGTGTAACGCCGTTAGACATTACCAACTCCGATTCCATTCAATTCAAAAGTTGACTCTACCGTAGTTGGGGGAATCATAAATAATGGCGACGTGGCAGGCTCTTAACGCGTGGACCCCACTTTGTTCATTGAGATTGTGCCACGTCGTGTTCCTCAACCTACATGTGTCAGCTCCGCCACTACCAAATATCCAAACTTTTTAAAGTACTTTTTGTTTTATCCATTTTAAATAATACAGTAAGTTATAACATAAAAAAACTCAGCTATGTGTCAGATTTTACATGCCCAAATTGCCCCTTACTCCTATTTTCCCTTTATGCCCTTCATTTGAAAATTAGAAAAACATTTCACAATTATAAATTTAGTTGCAGTAATATAAATATTTATCGTTATTGAGAAGCATAAATTAGGGGATTTAGGATTCAAATAATTGAATCTTCTAAAAATATTATCCTCCAACACTCTAAATTTCACCAAAAATCTAACTTAAATTATAATAACATAGCTCGATAAGGGTATAAATTTTAATATAATAATTGTTCTTCATAAAAACGCTAACAAATCTAATTAATTACTCTTCGACTTTTATGAAAAGGGGCATATTTCATCTATATTAATTTTATTAAAACGATTAATAACGGTTCACACAAAAATTATAATAGGAGAAAATTCGCCCTATTTATTTTTATATAAAAAAAAATGAAAATAAATTAAGAAGTAATCATAATGAAACTCAACCTCACTTGACTAAAAAAATATTGTTTTGATTTTAATTGTGGGCAAGGAATTTGGTGAAAAAGAGGTGAGGTGGGTTGGGGCATTGAATTTTGCAAGCAAGAAAAAGGAACATAAAAAGCAATGAAAATGAATTGATTTTGTTTGCTTTAAGAATAGAGCATGATAGTTACTCCACAACCAAGAATCTATAATAATAATTTTACTGGTCAAATTATTACCAAAACCAAAATTGTTGCTCAAGCATTATCCAATTAGCTGAAAAGACTACCCATTTGTTGCCAAAAATATATTTAAAAAACACTTCTTCTCATCCTCCTCTACTTTTGAATTTTTTTAGTTAAAAAAAAAAAAAAAAAGGATGTCCGAGTCAGTTATTTTATACTCTTTATTTTATCTTTACAGAGAAATTGTCGGGTCATTTTACATAATCAAATGAGAGTTTAATTTGTTAAGTTTATCTACGCTTAAAGAGTTGTTATGATTTCAAAGAGACTTTTTCGAGACTTTTATATGTTTTTTTTTTTTAAATTCAATCGTTAAGTTCTTACTTTTACCGTATGATTGCTTATTTGAAATATTAAAACGTCAATATATCTACTTTTTGGTAATATAAAATTGGAATACATAATTATCATAAAAAGAACACATGAAAGGAGAGAAAAAGAATGTAAATAAAATAAACAATCATTTCTAAGTGACTGTGTGGAGTGGTAAGAACCATTTTGAGTTCGATTAATTTCGATTGCTAATAGAGGTGAGATGGTCATTTAAGGGTCTATCAAGTTGTTAACTTTAAGACCAATAGAAGATTAATCGAGTTGCATATAAATTGGCTTGGATATGTTTGATTATAAAAATAAATTAAAATTATCATGAAATAATATTTAAAAATTGAATATATGTTTTCCCAATTTAAACCCAAAAATAATTCCACAAACAACAAAAAGATAAACAAAGGTCAATTTCGTCATTCAAAGACTCCCTCAAATTTATCAAATTTTTCTTCCTTAGAAATGATATAGAAAAGGACCTTTGCGTAACCTATAGATTTTAATAAATCCAAAAAATAAAAAAAATATTTTTATATTTATTTCCTTAAAAAGATCTAAATAAAATTATATAAATTCTCTTTCTCCATCAAAAAAAAAAATGGTCACTGTGTCTGTGTCTCTCTTAAGGTTGCAGAGAGAAATTCAGAAAATGAATAAAATGGGATGGCCTATCTTCTTCTTCTTCCTGTAGAGTCTCTATTCTCTGCTTGGTGTTCCACAGTAAGCTCTAATTTCTGTTCAAATTCAAATTGATTCGACTTCTCAATTTGAAATTTTGAAGTCTAAAGGGTTAAAATTTCATCCTTCAGCTCTTTGTTTTGATAGGTTACCTTGTTAGGGAGTTCACTGGAAAGTTTGAGAGAAAGTACAAGTGGGTTCAAGTGAAAAGCTTGGATATAGTAAAATTTGGAGTGGAATTAGTAATACCCAGATGAGAATTTTTGGCTTAATTGGACTAACTAGTTTGCAGCAGCTTCAGTTCAGTTGGAGCTTATTCTTCTTCTTCTTCTTCTTCTTTTTGTTTTTTTTTTTTGAATTTTTGTAAATATTTAATTTTTTTGGATTTTGTGAAATTTCTTGAAGCAATTTAAAGGAGTTTTTAAGTTTATTTACTGTTTTGAAGCTTTAATTTTATGTAGTTGTCATTTGAGTGGAGATCTAATTTGGCATATTGGTTTCATAGATAAATTGAGATTAGATTTGGTGGTTTGCATGTGATTTGACTATCTTTAATTCCATTGTTTCAATTTTGTTTCTAAATTACATGCACTTAATTATTAGTTTCCATTTTCAAAGATGTTTTAGAAGTTCCGACAAAAGGGTTCTTTTAATCTTGTTTGTTTGCAATATCTTGCAGTGTTAATATGTTCTGTTAACACTGTTAATGCTAATCTTTTGAGTTTTTCTTTTATATTTATGCATTTTGTTGAGAATTTATATTGCTACTTTATGTGAGGAAAAGTTTTGTGTATTTATCTGTTGTTTGAAGTTCTATTTTAATGAACAACTATTAGTCTATTACTAGAACATGGTGGCTCACAGTTTTTTTTTTTTTCTGCCTCAATTAATTTTTTCTTGGTCAATTAGTTGGGAGATTAGGCTGTTGATATTTTCCTAGGATTCGGTTGCGATGCACGCAAAACCTGATGAAGATCGGCAGTTAGACCATGGTTCTCAGGGTGTGTTGCAGTCGACTCTCTATACCCAGCCTTGGTGGCGTGGAGCTGGGAGTGGAGCTTCCTTGGGTGAAAACACTCCCAAATCTTCAAGTGAACAGCATAATGGTTCGGTTGGGAATGGAACTACACATGCACAAGGTAACGAACTGATGTTTGCTTGGATCCTGGAGCTAACTTCAATAAAGAAATGCAAACTGTCTTGCTAATATGTTAGTTCACTTTAAAACAAACAGTTGTGAGGATATTATGTTGAATAATGCTCTTTTTACTTTATACTGTTCTTATATACCAGCGCTTGAACAAGGCAAACTGCATACATTTGAATTCCAAAGACCATTTATTTATTAATTAATGCAGCTGTTTGAGGTTGAAGATAAGAAAAGGGTTTCCAATCATTTATGATTGACAAAATGTGTTCTCTCATCGGTTTCATCAAGCCTAATTAAACTCAAGCAAAACCTCATCATATTTGGCAGTCTGGGGCCTGTTATTGGAAAGCTTTTCCATTTTAGTTTTTCCAAATTTAATGGGTAATGAGGGCTTATTAGAGGAAATGAGAGGATTTTAGGTTTGAAGGTTGCATGCTTTCTTGCATTCTGTCAAATTAACAGAAAGCGGAGAAAGTATTAGTGATAACCTTATTTTAGGTGTAAGTTCAGTATATTGCTGAAGCATCACAAGAGTGATATATTCATGAAAGGTTTCCTTTTCAAATCAGATGGGAATAATGGCCAAGAAAGCAAACATCACAAACATATGGCATCCTCAAGAGCTCTTGCCATGACTGATCACCTTGAACCGAATTCTCAAATGGAGCTAGTTGGTCACTCGATTGTAAGACATCTCTCTCAATCTTGGCATACTCATATCTGCACACACATGTTCTGAGCACTTTCTGTGGGTGCAGGTAATATGAGCCTCTAGGACTTTGCCTTTTTTGTATTATTAAAGCAGTGACAACTCTTAATTCTGTAATTCAGGTTCTGACACCATTTCCTTATTCGGATCCACAATATGGTGGAGTATTGAATCCCTATGGGCCACAAGCTATGGTATGCAATCTGCAGCCTTTTGTGTATGTTAAATTTGTGAACTAGAAAGTCAATTGAGAACATGATTTTATTGTCTTAAAGGTAGGGAAGTCTTTTGGGTAGTTCTTTTGTGCATCAATCTGAATAGGTTAATGTCTATTGTGCAAGTTTATTTACAAAATTAACATGTATTTATTTTACCTAAGTGAATAGCATATGTTTGTGGAAGCTGAAGGCATAGTGCTAGGGTGATGTCTAATATCTATCTTGCGTCTTACAATTCAGCAGCTATACAGGCAAATGTATTATATCGACGTTCTGACAATATGATGTGTTGGCCCTTTCTTGTTTCAGTTTTAATCAAGATGATCAGGATATATTAATTTTAAATATGCTTTGCTAATTTCTTCTTGGGTATTTTTGGAAAATATTTGTCAAGAGAAGCATTTATATCCAATTAAGTTGGCCATTGCTCAGTGCTTTTCTAAGTTTAAATTGAACATTGTTTTTTCATGTGGAGGATTTTGCTTTTAGACCCTTGTTTCATCTGTAAGCATTGCTTTTGTATGGATTTCAAATGGGGTTTTTTTTTTTTTAATAGGTTACTGAAGTATTGTTGTATTAGTACTTTGTATGCATAAATATGTAAAATTGAATGTTCTGGGACTGGTAAATTTTATAATAATTTATAGTTTGATGTCAGTTACCTCCCCAGGTGTATGGAATGCATCATGCCAGAATGCCATTGCNCCAAAGACCATTTATTTATTAATTAATGCAGCTGTTTGAGGTTGAAGATAAGAAAAGGGTTTCCAATCATTTATGATTGACAAAATGTGTTCTCTCATCGGTTTCATCAAGCCTAATTAAACTCAAGCAAAACCTCATCATATTTGGCAGTCTGGGGCCTGTTATTGGAAAACTTTTCCATTTTAGTTTTTCCAAATTTAATGGGCAATGAGGGCTTATTAGAGGAAATGAGAGGATTTTAGGTTTGAAGGTTGCATGCTTTCTTGCATTCTGTCAAATTAACAGAAAGCGGAGAAAGTATTAGTGATAACCTTATTCTAGGTGTAAGTTCAGTATATTGCTGAAGCATCACATAGAGTGATATATTCATGAAAGGTTTCCTTTTCAAATCAGATGGGAATAATGGCCAAGAAAGCAAACATCACAAACATATGGCATCCTCAAGAGCTCTTGCCATGACTGATCACCTTGAACCGAATTCTCAAATGGAGCTAGTTGGTCACTCGATTGTAAGACATCTCTCTCAATCTTGGCATACTCATATCTGCACACACATGTTCTGAGCACTTTCTGTGGGTGCAGGTAATATGAGCCTCTAGGACTTTGCCTTTTTTGTATTATTAAAGCAGTGACAACTCTTAATTCTGTAATTCAGGTTCTGACACCATTTCCTTATTCGGATCCACAATATGGTGGAGTATTGAATCCCTATGGGCCACAAGCTATGGTATGCAATCTGCAGCCTTTTGTGTATGTTAAATTTGTGAACTAGAAAGTCAATTGAGAACATGATTTTATTGTCTTAAAGGTAGGGAAGTCTTTTGGGTAGTTCTTTTGTGCATCAATCTGAATAGGTTAATGTCTATTGTGCAAGTTTATTTACAAAATTAACATGTATTTATTTTACCTAAGTGAATAGCATATGTTTGTGGAAGCTGAAGGCATAGTGCTAGGGTGATGTCTAATATCTATCTTGCGTCTTACAATTCAGCAGCTATACAGGCAAATGTATTATATCGACGTTCTGACAATATGATGTGTTGGCCCTTTCTTGTTTCAGTTTTAATCAAGATGATCAGGATATATTAATTTTAAATATGCTTTGCTAATTTCTTCTTGGGTATTTTTGGAAAATATTTGTCAAGAGAAGCATTTATATCCAATTAAGTTGGCCATTGCTCAGTGCTTTTCTAAGTTTAAATTGAACATTGTTTTTTCATGTGGAGGATTTTGCTTTTAGACCCTTGTTTCATCTGTAAGCATTGCTTTTGTATGGATTTCAAATGGGGTTTTTTTTTTTTAATAGGTTACTGAAGTATTGTTGTATTAGTACTTTGTATGCATAAATATGTAAAATTGAATGTTCTGGGACTAGTAAATTTTATAATAATTTATAGTTTGATGTCAGTTACCTCCCCAGGTGTATGGAATGCATCATGCCAGAATGCCATTGCCCCTTGAAATGGAGGAGGAGCCTGTTTATGTGAATGCAAAGCAGTATCATGGTATTCTGAGACGAAGACAGTCGCGTGCTAAGCTTGAGCTTGAAAAGAAAGCGATAAAAGTTAGAAAGGTAGAACCCGTAGTTTTATACTTTTCATCCTCTGCAACGAATAACAGTTTTCGACAATAACAGTGTTTCATTTGCTTGTATTCTTTACAGCCATATCTACATGAGTCTAGGCACCAACATGCGATGAAAAGGGCTAGGGGATGTGGGGGCCGTTTTCTTAATACTAAGAAGCTGGATAACAACACTGTGAATCCCACATCAGAGAAAGGTATGAATTCTGGCACAAACCTTGCAACAAAGTCTGCCAGTTTATCTGGCTCTGAACCCTTGCCTGCCAATGGTACTGGAAATATGGATTCCTCCATTGTTCAGAAAGAAGGAAAAGGGTCAATGGTAAAAAACATTCACGAAACACACACTTCCCCTAATGGTGACAGTAATGGTCATGGTCTGTTAATGTACAATTCATCATCTACTGATACTGTGAAGGGTGATTTCTTTGGTCAACAGAGGGACAACATGCAAATGAATGGGGCTCACCAAGGGCCCCTTCCGGTTAAGTGAAATTCTTCGATGTGGAGGGGCTTTCCAGCATTGCTCTGCTGGTCTGATTTTCTCGACTCAAGCATTTATTTTTCATTTATGTAGCTTAGTTAAAAGTCTCTGTTTCTGATGGGTAGGTTTCTTTTGAGCAGGCGAAGCTGGAGGCGTTTGCCACTTTCGACATGGGGTTGGGGAAATCATCATTAGCGTGGTGGACCTCAGGCAATTCATTCTTGGCTTTGCAAAACCTTGTGGGTGTTTGGATGAAGATGAGGAACTAACAAAGAAGGAAAACATGTGAATATCATGTTATGTTCACTCTTAACTTAAGTTCCATTGTCCCTTCCATTCACCCTTCTGTAAAAAAGTAAAATTTAGCTACAGTGTGTATGTATGAAGTAGGAACTGTTGTGAATGTGGGAAGTTTTAAAACGCATAAACATTTGACTATTGTGAAGGTGTGAAGATCTCTTTGTTTTGTTGTAATGCAACCAGAGGGGTCAACTGTCTCTACTTTTAATCAAGGTTTCATGTTAAATAATGTGAAAAAAGTTGGTTCTCTTTTAATCATTTTGTGGTGTGTTTGAGTGCTTTGAAAGCTAGTTTTGGTGAAGCAACTTTGTTCCTGCAAGGCTATTGATTACACTTCATTACATTTTGGTTAGTTAGATTAATAAGCCTTGTACAAGACGTTAGATGTTGAAGGCATCATTAAAGTTTATTAGAACAAGTCGCTAAATGCCAAATAACATATGAATTCAGTTGTGTTGTGCCACTTCCCCTTGGGCCCATGAAAAAAGAATAGGCCCAAAAATAGACTACCGAATCATTGATAGTAGTTGGTCCTGATCCACTCCTTACAAAAACCCTAGACCCTTCTGCATTCTTTCTTCTTCTTCTTCTTCTTCTTATTCTTCGTCTCTCGTTCTGTGAGTAGTAAACTGTAAAGGGTTTGGTTTATAATCGGAAAGGAAAAGTTTTTTGGTATCCCCATGATGAAATATTTAGTAATCTGAAGTTATATATAAGTGCATGAAACTTGGTGCTCCCTTCCACTTTGAAGGTTGAGGAACCATTCTACGGTTTCCTGCCAGGTTGATACTAGGCATTTTGAGGGATCTCATTGCAAATATTTTATTTATTTATCTTTGGGATTTTTGGTGATGACATATCTGATCATTATCCGTTGTTTGAGCATCGGGGACATTGCATTTTTGGTGAATTTTGATTGTTGAATTTGGTATATTTTTTGTGCGTGTTTGTGTGATCTGGCTTCTGTTGAATCATCTTGCTGTTGAAGCATTCTGTGTTTATTGTTGGTATGTGGTTACCATCTCTATTTTCAATGGTGATTGATTTGTTATACCAGTTTTCGTAACTTTGCTTTGCCAAGAATAGCAGAGGATTCATTGGGTGCGTTTGTTCATTATTTTGGATAAGATTTTGGGAATAATATTGGGTAGTTGGATACGGGAGTATTAGGAGGTAAACTTTAAAAATTTATGAAAAAGCCCTTTGATTTGTTAATTTAATTAAAGACTCTAATATATAAAATGAAAAAAACACCCTTATCACCTGCAGTGCCAGATTCCGGCCACTATTGTCGGAATTTGGCCGGATAATTTTGTTACAACACAGATCGGTCGGATCTGTGTCGTAACGTGTCGTTAAGGCCTTTTTCGACCAGATCTACCACGGATCTGATCGGAAAAGGCCAGATCTAAGGTTAAATGTTGTCGTCGACTACTGGAAAACGTCAAAAGAAGTCAATCTTTGACCGTCAACGACACCATTTCTTTGGTTGTCGTTGAGGGCCAGATCTGGCCGGAAAAGGCCAGATCGGTTAACTTCCGGCCATTTCTGGTCGGCAAGTAGGTTGTTGTACAAATTTGGGCTACCACTGACGGTGGTTGCCAGAATCTGGAAAGTATGGGTTGATGGGGGTGTTTTTGTTAATTTTTAAACTTTTTTCTGGGGGTATTTAATGAAATTAATAAGCTTAAGGGGTCTAAATGTAATTAAAAAAATATAGTAATATTTTTGGAATAATGTGCCAAACAATATCTGGGGAATAGGATTTGGAATATGGATAAAAATAATGAACCAAATATGGCCATTGATATCATTTGGAGAGTCTGTAAATGAACACCATTACCAAATTTGTTAACCTACTTTTGCCAACAACTGTAGACATATGGGGGGTTATTAAGTTAAGCAACAATGCTACAGGTATCGGGGTTTTTACACCGAAATTTTGTACTAATCTGCGTGTCCTTTGACTCAGACCATTCAACACATTCAAAAATGTTATATCCACCGAAACACGTAAAAGCTACCACGTTAAACGATTGAATACTAACATAAATGGACGATCGTCCAATGATTTTGGACAATTGTTCATATATTCTGGATGGTCGTTCATAGTGGAATGGATGAAGTCCATAAAAAAAAAGTTTTGTTTTAAAAAAAAAATAATAGACGCCCGTCATAGTTAATATGGACGGCCGTCCATCTTTATTCGTCTGCCTCTTCTTTAGAAGGCGCGCATTTCTCTATAGAGTGCCCTACAACACCTCCATTCAAGAAACACATCTTCGGGATCATATAAAGAATACTTGAGGTCGGGATCCAGGAACTCCTGCTGGAGAACTTCTGCTTAAAAACAAGACTTTTTGAAAGGTGATCAATAAAAAAAAACAGGATCTTTGAAAGCCAAAAATTCAAAGTTCTTTCTACCGTTGAGTTTAGCCTCTGTTTGACAGTCTCTCAACTTGCGTTTAAGTCTTCCACTAATGGGAGTACTAGCTAACTTTCTCAAAGCAGATCCCTGACAATTTACCAGGTTATTGTCATCATCTTGATTCTCTTGCGTCCCGAAGTCGACCAAGCACATTGTTCTGCACCTCAAACAACCATTCAAAATATTAGAGAACCGTAGAAACAAAGAGCCCCAAAACTTAAGAGAGGATCTGCTGTAGTTCGTGAAGAGGTTGAGAAGGGAAGGGAAATGATGCAATTAGGTGATGTATTTGTTGGAGTTGTCGACTACTTCAGCATTAATGGGTAACGGAGACGCACTCGGGGATCTCGCTGCCCAGTCAGCGGGCGGGTGTCTCGCTCCCCGGTGAGCGGGCGGGGGTCGCGGGGGCAGCGCCCCCGAGCCTGTAGGCGGTTTTGGGCTTTTCCATGTATAACCGCTGTAGGATTTCCTTTAAGTTATTAATTCCTTTTTTGGGTTGGGCTTAGGAATAAGAATCCTTGTAAAACTAGGTTTAATCTCTTAAACCTAGTATATAAAAACATACTTTTCTCTTGTTATGAGAGAGAGAGCAATTCATTCATTGTAAATGAGAGAAGTGAGGCATATTGCAATAATATTGACTCAGCTGGACGTAGCCTACATTGGGTGAACCAGGGTAAATCGCGCGTATTATTTTTTTTGTTTACTATTTGATTTGTTTTACTATTATATTTTGTTCCTGTTGTTGTCTCTATTTCGTTCAGTATTGCGTGAAGAGAGAGCTCAAATGAAACTCTCAGAGGCTAAATATCAGCTTGAAGAAAAAAATGCCGCTGTTGATAAACTGAGGAGTCAACTTGAAGCTTTTATGGGAACCACACGTTAAGCTCTCTAGCGTTGAGTTCCATCCACAATGCGTTACAAAACATCCTACCGCTGGGTTTGACAATACCTCTACTTGTGAACACCACGGCACTATCATACCTTGTTGCTCTAGTTCTTCTCTAGATCTGGGATGAGGAAGACCAAGAACCAGAGCGCAGATGAGATGAAGAAGACGATGAACTAGTGCGCAGATGGAAGAAGAAGTAGAAGACCGCAGCTGATTTGTTTTTTGAAACACTTTCCCCAAAATTTTTTAACACAAAACGTTTTTTAATTAGAGTTGGGACGAAGGACGGGCGTCCATTCCTTACATACGGACGACTGTCCTTATGAATGAGCGTCCATTCCATATGGATGGCCGTCAATTTCAGATTTTTTTAAAATTTTTATATTTTAAAAAAAGGACAGGTGTCCCTTATTTACGGCCGTCTCTAAATACTGGACAGGCGGTCATCGTCTCTAATTTTTTTAATATTTTTTATTCCATTTATCGATAGACGGGTGTCTTTTAAATGGAGACATCCATCTATAGTAAATGAACCTCTGTCCATATAATATGCCGTCCATATTCACTAGAAAAAATTTAATAACGTCAAATGTGTTGAATGGTCTGAGTCAGGGGACACATAGGCCGGTATAAAATTTCGGTGTAAAAACCCCAATGTCTGTAACATTGTTGCAGTATTCAATCATCAAATGTGACGGCTTTCACATGTTTCAGTGCAATTTTTTGGTGGATATAGCATTTTTGTTAAGTTATAGCTATGTTAAATTTGCTTGTACAATCCGGAAGTTGTCCTTCACTGTGTGTAAAAAGTAAAAATCTTCATCTGAAAATTGTTTATATCTAGTCTCTTAGTATTATTATCGTATTTCAGAGCAATAAGTATAATCAGGTGTTGTATATTCTTATATATTTCTCTCATTAGTGAATGTCGACGGCTTATATCGAATCACATAAATATCATACCTTCTCAAATATATGTTTTCCAATGATCTCCTATCATGAATTGAGCATAATTAGGTGTTGACAAGGTCAGTTGTTAATTTGAGAAATGGTAAAAAGTTAAATAATAGACGAGTCTAATCTTTATACATATGATGAAATAATCCATGTACTTTGAAACTTAACAGATATAAACTCTTGATATGCTTCAGCCAATTTTCCATTATTTTCTGCCGTTTCTGACACCTATGATGCATTCTTGTGGTCACCCTTTCTCAGCTTCCCAGTTCACAATTTTGCTTGTTCTTCAAGTTGTTCCTGTTGAACAATCATTGAAACTTTTAAGCAATCGCATAGGGGATGGAAAACAAATGAAGCAATTGAGTAGATTTGTAGATCATGTACTGGTTTCATGTTTGCATCAAAGGGCATCAGTTCAAGTTAAATGAACATTATCATAGTAATAAACAAGCTTCTCTTTTATCTTATACTTTTTATCAGTGCCATCTCCTGCTGCTTTTTGTAAATGATTTTGTTTGTTTTACAAGAAACTAAATTCAGAAACTAACCTCTGTCACAAAGAAAGCATGGAACCCATATGGAACCCTATGTGGTAATTCCACAACTGCAACAGGATCTGGCGACATTGTTTTTGCATCAATTACGTTCACTCCTGACTTTCTGCATAGACACAGAAAAAGGAAATCTCAAAGAACAGTAAAAGGAAAATGAAAGCAGATCGGCAGATGCTGAATAAGGTGACAGAGGCAAGGCTGGGTGTTTGCAGAATGCAGAT